CGCACAGGTTACCTTGGCCGAGGCGCGGCGGCTTCGCATGGGCATGGGCAGTATATTGTTAATAGGGAGATCATAATCTGCAATGTTGGTTGCGGTATTTAGTAAGAAGAGTACCAGTAAACACCAAAACGCACACACCAGGTTGAGGCGTTAGGGTTGAGGGGTCTAGGGGTCAGAGAGGGGTGCCTTCGACTTTCCTGTGCTGTTTTTGAACCAGGTGTCCCGCATATCCCTAAGAGTGCACTTGGGGAAAGGAGAAGACCCAATATTCCGACAAGCCAGTCATCGCTAAGATGAGCAACTTTAAGCAGCTTGATTCGGGAATTCGGGATGTTGTAGGGATGCTCTCTAGTAGGCTGCTTCCCCCCAAGGTTTCCCGTAACTTGCACCACTAACGGTTCCCCAAAGCCGTTTGTAATCGTAGTCAGCAAAACCCTCAAACCATTGATTCAATCGGGGCTTCCTTTTCCCTCATAGAATCCCCATCAGCGTTCCTTGAGAATCCAATCCATTCATATGAGCTACTGTCAATATTAGCTTCCGTAAGGGACACTTAACAGTGGACATGGGGGTCCCTCTTGTGATTTAGAAAAGTCCCGAACATAGGCCCTCACAAGGAACCCTTATTGTATATGAACATGTGTAGGAAAAATTGACTGCATCAAGAAACCCTTGTATATGAAATTGCGTAGGAAATATTGACTGCAGCTCATATCCGTTGAGTTGTTAAGGGCCCCTTTTGGTTTTTGAGAGACAGGTGAACGCAGCTTGCGAGGAGCTTCGCCGGGAGATGGGCGGGGTCACACAGACCTTAAGGGTCCAAGTACCCACACAATGCGGTTTTAGGTACCGAAAACCGTTGAGATTGCAGTACTTGGGGTCTAAAACCTTATGCCTTGGCTACTTGGACTCTCTAGGAGAGAGTGGCCTGTGTTTGCGGTGACAATTCAGGGTTCATGCAGGGTTGAGAGCGTAAGATTCGGGTTTGCTTCCCAAATACCTTCACTGGAGCAACTGGGCTCTCGACTTTTGAGCTACAGTCTAAACTCCTTAAAGGGGGGCTTATAGTTAATTGTATAGGGGACCTGTGTAGGGCTGATTCGGGGACATGCTGGGAGTTCAGACGATAGCTCTACGAGCTGCTTCCGATGATCGCACCCCTGGCCCACTCGCATCATGACACTTCAGCATTCATTCTCTGACTAGAGCTGAGGGCAAGGCATTGAATCAAATCCCTTAGCTCTGTCGAAACAGTTTACACACGTGATGTTGGGCCTGGGCGCTGTTATGGATATCCCTTAGCCAATACCCCTGCCAGGGTTTGGGGTTGGGATGTCGGGCTTATGCAGAGTTTTATTTCAGATTAAAATGGCAAACCCAGACCTTTGAAGGGTTTAGGGTTCAGGGCTTAGGGTTTTTTGAATGGGTCCATGAAATAGTTCCCACCAACCGAGGGTATTTTTGTGGGTGCGTCCTAATCAATCCCCACACAATCCCTGTATACAATCCCATGATCCCAAAGCCCAATCTGCGCATTCTGACTGAGGTCGCAGGCCCTTCCTTGATCCCGGAGACGGAGCAGGCAGCTCTATCGTGCAGCCAAATTGCACATAGAAGCTACTGTGCAGCAGCGGCTAGCAAGTAAGGGCAGCCAGTTTTGAGATAGTTTTCAGAAGTCTGAAAAGACAATCTTTCAGTGCTTTTGTCGTCAGCTGTATTCCACCCAGACACCGCAACCCCATACCCTACCCTGAGGGTGCAGGTACCTAAATAGTAGGGGATTTGGGCCCAAAAATACTATATACATTTACACATACTTTTATGTATACAAACACTTTCATACACACATAGATATGTACCAACCCATTTCAACTCCAACTGCAGTGTATATACATAGGTACTTGGAACCTAAACCCCAAACCCCAAGCCCTGAACCCTAAACCCCTGAACCCTAAACCCCTACAGGCCCAACCCGAAACCTCATCCGCAGGAGCTTCGCAAAGCGCGTTGGGTGCCCTCTCACAAGCGCTCAGCCAAAGCCTCAATTGTCCCACGCGGTTTAGGGTTTAGGGTTCAGCGTCTACTTGCAGGTTGTCAGTAGTGGTGGGGGGGATTGAGGGACTGGAAAAGAAAATGGGAACTACACTATGGCCGATAAAAGAAATATAATGATGATTATAGGAGTCCATCCCTCAACTCCCTGCATACTAGCAACCGGAAAGTTGAGGGTTGCACAGGCTTAGGCGTGTTTCTCAGAGTTATTCTACACACTTCTTTACAGGGACGCCCAGAATCCCATGGTAGCCCTACATATCCCTAGGGTTCTGAAGGCTTTACCCCCTGTCTGGCGAAATTCCCATTAGCGGACTGCGACGCTTCCCAGCAAAAGGCGCAGGTGATTAGAGCCCGAAACCCTAACACCCTAAACCCTGAAACTAAAATCCGAAAACCCTGAACCCTGCAGTAATATCCTATCAATCCCATCCCAGAAACCCAACCTCATGTAGAGGGCCAGATTCATTATATGCCAATAGTGTTAAAACCCTAAACCCTAAACCCTAAACCCTTTTTAGTGCAAGCATTGGGACCTGTAAAGGAGATCCGCAATTACTTACGCCCCTACATTATGTAATCGCCATTAACTGGTTTCTACTTCATGTTCCATTGTCTTTTCCATTTGGTTGGGGAATACCCCTAAACCTGCAACCCTCAATCCCTAAAGCCTAAAACCTAAACTTTAAATCCCTAATCCCTAAATTCCTAAGCCCTAATCCCCAAACCCTAAGCCCTAAACCTTAATCCTTAAACCCTAAACCATTACATGGGCTTCCACATTTGACCCAGCTTGCCCCGGCTGCATCAGGCGAAGAGCGAACGGAGAGGATGAGACTGGCAGCAGAACAGCGGCGTGGGGCTGCCCAGAGGTTGTTGGGACTTTGTAGGGCTTTGAGGGCTTCTTGGGGATTTTAGGGTGTAGAGTTTAGGATTGGGGCTTGGTGGTATTTGTGGGGCTTTTAGGGTGTAGAGTTTAGATTGGGCTGCCTGTCCTTGAAGGGGTTTTACTGAGGGGTCCTTATAGCTACTACTGTACCACCTCTCAGGACTTGGGATCAATTAATTGAATCTACGCCTACGTGTAGTACATGGGCGAAGTAGTTGGGAGGACTAATCCATGATTAGTATGCCTACGGCAGCCCAGTCAAGGGAAGAAAACGAGCAGACCCCTGTCCGAAGAAAAGGTGGAGACGGCCATGAGGCGGGTTGAACATGAACGGAGTTGTTTGAAAGGTGCTGGTACACCTTGAAGAGCCCTGCTTGCATGTGACTTAGGGAAGCCCCATGGCATGTCAACACACCTGATGGCGAACGTGACAACAGTCAGAAATGCGGCCAACAGCCTCCTCCTCCTCCGACTACTACTGCTGCTACCACTACCACTACTACTACTACTACTACTACTACTGCGTTTGCTGCTGCTACCACCATCCTCATCATCGTCATCATCATCGTCATCATCACAACTACCGCTTCTTCTTTGGAGCAAGACCGCTTTGGCGTCTCTGCTGCTAATGACCCAAGGCAACGCAGCGAACACGGAACGTCTTGAAGGCCGGTGGTCTGATTTGTGTGCGTCTCAACATGGTGGGCGTTCTTTGGGGTACCTACATGCAGCACCTCCCCGTAATATACACTGGTATTCTGATGGGGGGTGTTCACTTTGTGGCAGGTAGGGGGGGGGGGGGATCATATTAGGGAGCTGATTAAGGACTATGCTATAAGGTACCGGGGTAGCAAAGGCGGGGACACTGAATTTAAGAAATGCCTTGGTGCTGGCCTAAGGATGTTTCGTTTTAGGCCTTTGGCTCAGAGGCTTAGTGCCCTCTCCCCAAATACTGTGGTGCCCATCATAGGGAACCAAAGAATGGGATCATAATCTTGGGGAGTTCCAAGATGAAGCCCTCAAGGGATGAAATTGTGGGGAATGGATGGAGGTTTCCCCTTAAATTCTGGACCCCCGGAAATTCAATGCTTTAACCTGGGTACTTTGCAGGGCGTCTCTTCCTTAACCATAAGCCCTACATCCCATAATTGCCTGCGGAGCCCAACCAGACAGCAACTGGGGCCAGGGAGGCTCATTATGACCTGGCGCCGAGGAAATCAAAGAATGGATTGGCAACGCGCCACAGAATTCCCGTGCCCCAACTGCCCGGAACCCTAAATCCTACATCCATTCTTTCCGTTCTGTACTGAGCACTGAGGAGAAGAAATCCTAAACCACTAGAAACCCTAAACCCTAAACCCTAAGCCCTAAACCCTAAACCCTAAACTGGAGGGTTTAGGACAGCCGGCCCCCGAAGGACTCTTGCAAGGAGCCCACGAGCATCTTGCGCGCCTGTCGCAGCAGGTTGAGGCCCTATAAAGTGTTGGGTTTTGGGTGTAGGGGTTTAGTGCTAGACCACAGGAAGCGAAACCCCGTGCACCCAGCCTTGTTGCTGTGCGGGCCGCTCTTTTCCACTGTGGACCAAACGCCTTCGGTGGTTGTAACCTGTCAGGTGCAAACGGTGGGACGTTCGGGTGTTTCAGGAAGACCACCAATAAGGTATTCGTACGGAAACACACCGTCAACCTGCGTAGCAGCACAAGGATTGACACTGGTCTTCCTTACTTTCCCGGAACGTTTACAGGTTGGAGCGCTCTCCACCACATGTAATGGCACGAGCAACTTCTGTTTGACTACTGTCCACCAT